GCTCACTGGCTAGGATGTTCTCCTGCAGGGACCTTGGGTGATGGACCAGGAGACTCAGGGATGCCTCTGCCTGGCTACTATGTTAGTGAGAACCTGCTTTCTGGGAAAATCCCAGCAGAGCTGTGGGACTGGACAAGACCTACATCCTCCTCCCAAAGCCCTGCTCTGAACCTGAAGGCTGCCCAGCAGGGCCCACAGCCAACTCCGGGGTCCGTGTGGTCATTGTCATGGGTGGAGATGTTCCTGTGTGAGCTTCCCCACGGCTGGAGGGGGCCACCCAACCATTTCCATCTGTCACCACCAGCCAGGAAGGCCTCCTCTCCACGTTACAAACGCGGTCAACCTGAGTTCTGTGGCTGGAAGCCCCGGGGCAGGCGGTAAGGCACGGGGTGGGTGTGGGTGTAGGCGGGAGCCCCAGAGAACTTTCCCGAGTCAGGAACTGGCTCCAAGACAGCAGCTGCCTTTAAAGAAAGGAGTGGAGAGTGCTGGCAGAGCAGGGCCTTCTTACACCAGCATGTGGTTACTAGGGGTTAGGGCCCCGGGTGGGCACAGGAGCCCCATGGTTTGCTCCCCTGTCCTGGTCAGCCTCACCCGTGAGGTGTCATCTGCTGGCAAATGAACAAAACCCAGCCAAGAGCAAACACATTTTTGAATTCAGTCTTAAATACTCAGAGGAACAAAGTTTTTCAGAGATTACACATTTTTCTAGCATTAGCTCTGCTTGAGTATGCAAAACAAGGAGGTAGAATTATTCTTCCTCTTGGTACATTCTCCTGGACCACACAGAGGATTCTTCTGGGAGGTGGGGGGGTGGGGACCAGTGAGATGCTCGGGGGTGAGTTTGCTGAGAGGGAGGTTGAGTGCTTTCTCGCCCAACCTTTAGAGCCTTCTGGAACATCTCTGGGTAGGGCCACTTCCTCAAATTTGAGGCAGTTGCTAGACAATCACTGCTTCTGTGAGCTGGGAGGGCCATGTAGGGTGCGGCGAGGACATGTGGGTTTAAATCCCAGCCCTGCCACTTCTTGGCAGTTGGAACTTGGACAAGTCACTTAACCTCCCTTTTCTCACTTGTAAAAGGAGAAAATATAAATAGTGGGGCCATGATGGGGTGGGGTGGGAATTAGGGGCATCACCTTTGTCCCTGTCACCACCCTCCCCCCCAGCAGCCCTTGCTTTTCCATTTTACTCATGGAGTTTTTCTTGCAAAAAGTTCCCCTTGGGAGTTGGCAGATTCTTGGAACCTCTA